CAAATGTCAGGCATTTCAGTAAAGGCGTGTTGTGTTTATCAGAACTGTTGTGGCTCATGTCTTTATTTAGCTGACACACCTATCTGGTTTCACACCCGAGCGTTGGAGAGTGTTTCATGCAGTAGGTCATAGTGTGATGGCTGAGGACAGTCTGAGTCACAAGAACCCTCAAATTGGAAAATGGGATACAGAAAATGAGATGACAACACACTGTGTACTTTCACGTGTGTCTCAAAAACCCATATCTATGTACAGACTGTAAAGCAGATGCTATATAGTGTTTTTGACATCTCAGAAATTAAATGTGTACTGATCCCAAGGCTGTATGTCTGTTGCTGGAAACCTCAGCAACAAAAGTAATGAAGGTAACAGGTCTTATAAGATGCATTAATTAAATTGTATCAAACTTAATTACTTGGGTATATAAGACATAACCTTGTTATTTTAGTCTTGGATGACTGTTTTTTATGCTGCTAGTTTTTAAACCATCTATAAGATAACGGTTTGTGTGTCTAGTGCAAAAAGAATCCGTACATATTAATCTCTTTAAGTAGCATTTATGTCACTGTAAAATGAAATAGGAGCAATTTTCCTTCCACACCAGGGCAACATATTTGAAATGGTGAGCCTTCTTATTAGAGGTCTACATCCGTGCTGCTTTATCTAATGGCAGGAATGCCACAGCATCTCCAGATCCTCTACAGGCAAAGAAATAAAAGAGAGAAGAGAAAGCTGGGAATCATACCATTTAAAACACCCACTCATGGCCTGCTCTTCAATACAGATTTTTCTGTCAGCTGTATTCTGTCCTTTTCTGCCCTCCTCAACCAAACCAGTTGCTAGTCATCTGTGTGCTGAGCTGTGTGTAGATGTCCAAGTGTATGTGTGTGCTGAAGAGATGGAAAAGGAAGCTGTGCTTCTGCCAAATGCTGATGGTGATTGCTGTTGTTATGTCTGAACATTTGGCCTGCTTGTTTTGCATCACATTTATGCACCTTTTTTGATGGAAGCGGATGCTTCATCGTGAATTCCGCCCACATCCATTTTCACGGATTATCTTAGTGCTGCAGTGTTGGCAAGTTCTAACTCCCCATTTACAAAAGAGTAAAGCCTAACGAAGTGGTAGAGCCGGGAGAATGTGATGACACAAGGTAGGCTCAGGGCCTTCGGATTACTGCTTTACTCACTCAGTCGCTCTCTTATACTTATGGCCTCAAAGTCTGTGAAAGAACACTTTCAACAATCTGTGCTTCAAATACACAGTATGCCTCTAAACATATTAGGAAAGGGAACAGATAGAGGAAGGCAGAGGATGCGAAAACGCAAGCTGCTGCATTGCAGGGGAGTCAGTGACAGAAATGTAGTCTAAATATATTGTCCTCATTCTCACAAAGTTTAGATTAGTGTTGCTGTCTACTATTTAAGGGAACAACTACAGCGACTAATTGGACGAGCAGATTGACTTAACGGGTGGAGTTAAACGAACAGAGGGAAGGACTTAACTGTTTCTGTCTCAGATTCAGTGTACAGGTTGGTGCGCAAAGCCTAGTATTATCAAGCCTCTGGTTATCGTCTGAAAAAACACAGTATGTCTATGGACGTCAATGGAAAAGTTACTGTATTTCCCACCAGAGTGCTTTATTTGACATTCAAGATTGTCAGTTGCTTTTACGTAGGCACTGATTAAGTGAGATTGAGAGAGATGTAGTGAGTGAAAGTGAAAAAGAACAGGGACCAGTGGGGATTGCAGCCCATTATTAGAGCCCTCCTCTGACAGAGAATAATGAGGCTGACTGTATTATCTGGGCCACAGAGATGGAGACTACAGGGCCACAGCTCATCACATGAGCCTGGGACTAAAAAACACTGCAAACCAACAGAGTCTCTGCAGAAATGCGGACTAACCTTTATTGTATAAT